TGTTGCCGTTGCTGTGGAAACAGGTATAGGCCCCCTTTTGAATCAACCCGCTTGGCCATTAGCTCAAAGCTAATCCTAAGCGAATAAGATGGCGAAAAAGAAAAAAGATGACGAGTTTGGTCGACTTCGGGACAAATGGACCGAAGGATTCGCATTTGTGGGGAGAACGGGTTCTGCGGTGTGTCTGATTTGCAATGACAAAATACCATCGATGAAACGGTCGAATGCAGAGCGGCACTTAGACACGCCCCATGCTACGTTCGCATCATAATACTGTGCGAGAGGTGGCAGAAAGGAAGTGTGCAAGCTACTGAGCAGTGTGCAAGCTAGCCAGCAGTAACTTCGCGTCTGGACCCGGCCAGAGGACTTTCATTCCGATAGTTTTGCTGGATTTTTAGCAATCGTGAGGAACGGAAAACCATTCATATTAATGGTGAGTATTGTCACAAAATTATTTTAAAGAATACATTCAGAGGCTGAATATACTGACATTTTGTTGAAATCACTTTAAAAATACATTCATTCATTCATTCATTCATCTTCCGAACCGCTTTATCCTCACTAGGGTCGCGGGGGGTGCTGGAGCCAATCCCAGCTGTCTTCGGGCAGTAGTCGGGGGACCCCCCGAATTGGTTGCCAGCCAATCGCAGGGCACACAGGGACGAACAACCATGCACACCCACACCCACACCTAGGGACAATTTAGAGTGACCAATGAGCCTGCCATGCATGTTTTTGGAATGTGGGAGGAAACCGGAGTACCCGGAGAAAATCCACGCAGGCCCGTGTGTATATATATATATGTGTATATACATACATACATACATACATACACAACACACGGCTGGATAGCTCAGTTGGTAAGGCACCGGTTTGGGGAGACGGGGATTCGAATCCTGCTTGGGGCAAAAAAATTAACACATAACACCATCCAGTGTGGGTCCTTGGGCAAGACCCTTCACGCTAATGCCTACCTCATACAATGGTGAGACACAATAAATCGAATGACATGCCGGCTCAGACGTCGCCCGGCCAAACAAGGTCTGCGTCAGGTGCTGGGGAACCAGAGCACCTTGATGAAAAATGGGCTACTGGAACAAAGCGGAGATGGGCGAGATGCGATAACATGGCTCTGTTGGAATGCTACTACTCAAGCAACCCTAGTCAGAGGGGTTACATGCAGAGAATGCGGGCTGAATGGTTACTTCGAAAACCACAGTCACGGTTGACCACGAAACAACTAGTAGCTCAGTGTTCCAACATCCACAAACGGCATTTGCTGTCACAACTTGAGATTGACGAGGTACAACGCAGGGTCCACGGCGAAGGGCCCCAGGCTGCCAGATGAGAGGAGGAGGTCATACCAGAGATTGGGAGGCAATCCCAATGAATGCAGATGATGAGCGAGGCAGCAACGGACCTGAAAGCTAGGATCGTGGCGAGAATGATAGCTGGGCAACCTAGAAACCGATTACAACGGCTATGTGAAGTACCACCTGAAAGTCTCATGGAAAGTGTGAATGCAGCACTGAGGGCGATCCCTACCGTCGTGATCATGGAAACCAATGAGCTGATATACGCTTCAG